ACTGTGACATTTGCTAAGAATCAAAAAAATCATTTGGAATAGTTTCTTTACGCTGTGTTTAATTGGAGGATTTGATTGGAGGATTTAAGAAGGAATTTGAAAATGGAAAGAGAAAATGTAGACAAAATGAGAATGAAATATACTTACATTTCACCTAGTTTCACACATATTTTTCACCAAATTTCATTCATCTTTTTCCGTTTTCATTTCTAAATTCTTTCCCAAATCCCTCTAACTAAACACAACATTAGTTGGCCATCAAAGGCCCATTTTGGGACCCACCAAACGGTTGAGTTGATTTTTTTTTAGGTTGGCACGATCTAAAAATTAAAATAAATATTGTTAACACATGATTAAAATAAATTTGTATTAGAAAAATTGATATCTATTATTGAAATCATATTCGACGTTCAATTTTTAAAAATAGATGTAATTAAAAAATAACAATATATGATAATCTTATTTTTTTGTATAGATATTTTACTGAGATGATCTGAAAACAGGCCTACTAAGCTAATTGTTTCTCTCAAATTAGATGGCCAACTTGAAAGAACAATCGTATTGTCCAAAAATAACGGCAAACAGTAGTCCTAATACAGTTTAATTAGGTGTGTCAAATTAACCATTAACAACTAACAAAACTGTTACTTGAATAACATTATATACAATACTAGACTACACAAGCAACACACCAAATGAATTATAACAACCCATAATTGTAAAACAAGAAATGACCCAGAATGTAATAGAGGGTTGAGATTAAAATGATGTAGCATGGGATCTATGTGTAAATTAAATCTGGACCACAAATTTAAATTTCTGGATAAAAATTTGGGCAAATATTCTGGAGCAAGGATGATTTTTTCTTAAAGTTTCCTAGAGTGGTTAAGATTTACTGGCAATTGATGTGACTTGCCAGTAAATCTCAACCACACAATGTAGCACTCTAGGAAACTTTAGGAAAATTTCACTCTAGAAGATCCTTGGTGAATATTCTGAATTCGTAGTGTTAAAAATAACACACCAAATGAATTATAACAACCCATAATTGTAAAACAAGAAATGACCCAGAATGTAATAGAGGGTTGAGATTAAAATGATGTAGCATGGGATCTATGTGTAAATTAAATCTGGACCACAAATTTAAATTTCTGGATAAAAATTTGGGCAAATATTCTGTATTCGTAGTGTTAAAAATAAAATAAAAATTAAACTTGCCTGGTATTAGGGTTTAGTGTCCATAAACTGAAACTTTCAAGACAATGCCCAATGATCGCCGACACCGGAACCGCCATCCTCTGATCAAGATGACAACCACCGCGGACGACATCATCTTCGGCGATGTAGGACAGTACATCCAACATAGTGACCATCCCTATGTAGTGTTTTCTAACTGAACCAGTCTGCTTATCAGACTCCAATATCATGGACCCACCAGCTCCAATCCAGTGTCCCGGCGGCGCCGGCACGGGCACCGCCACGACACGGTTGGCGACCAGGGTGTTCATGGTGTGGGCCAGAGAGGCCGTGTAGGGGACCTCTACCAGTCTCCTCTTGTCCGGAGTTAGAACATCTCTCACTTTCTTGTCTCTTAGCCTTTGCCTTTCCCAGCTATTGTTGTTGTTGCTTTGCTTCATGTTGTCATGGCTCTTTAACTCTAGTATTGTTGACTGCATTTTGCTTGGATTTATTGAATTGAAGATAGTGCAAGCGATGGAAGTGTAGCCTAATATATATATATATATATATATATATATGTGTATAGATTGTGTGTGTACGTGTCTAGGATAGGAATGCATGGGCGTTTTGTGTTTACCACGTGTTGTGCTCGTAAGAGGTGACTCATGGTGCTGGTGGAAAACAATTTGTAAAATAATTTAGTAGATATGTTCATAATATTTTTTATTTTATGCATCATATATTTATTTAATTCTAACTATTCGTTTTTTTTTTGGGTCCTTATATTTTGATCCTTATATCATTTTAGTTTCTGTAATTTTAATTAATTCGATTTTGACCATGAATTTATGATTTTGTTACAATTTAATCTAATTGAATACAATTGTTAGCCTTTTTTAATAAAAATGCTTACATAAATAACATATGTCATGATTTTAAGGGCAAAATTATGAGTTTACTCAACACAGTGAGTTAAATCTCAATCAATTCAGTGATAAATTTTCATCAAAATACTAGAGGTATTATCAATTTGATCAAATTGATATAAAATCTAAAATAAGAGTTAAAATTAAACTAATTAAATGGGTAGGGATTAAAATTTTAGTGATGTGATTGTAAGTTACGAAACCAATGTAAAATTTTAGTAAAAATTTAATTATATAAAAAAATAAAAAATAAAAAAATAATTATAGTTTTATTTTTTAATATTATTAATGTTTATCACTAATTTTAAAGTGCTTTTCTAGTCCTACACTGAAATGAAATTATCCCATTAATAAATTTTGAGACATGCTATCATGTGCACCTAAAAAATATGTATATACAGTGTACCATATGTAAAAAGTAAAATTTTTATTTTAAAAAAATAAATTTAATCATAAAAATTACTCATCACAAAAAGTATAACTTTAATTACAAAAAAAATATACTTTAGAAGTGTGCACCATAATTTTTCCGAAGTCATTAAATTGAAATTAGACTTGAGATGTAGAGATTAAATCATTTAATTTGAAATAGTAAGAATTAAACTGAAATTTGGATTAAACTACAGGGTGAAAAAGTATAATTTACCCATTGTATTTGCTAATAAATTGTGAGTAAAAATTATACAAATATTTTGAGCTAGATTTTTAAAATAAAAAAATAATAATAACAAAGATTATAAATAGCTCTATAAATTACACCAAACAATCCGAAATTGAGCCCAAGTCGTTACGGTAGTTCAACTTGGTAAGGGGCTGAGCTGGGCCGGCCGAACCTGTGAAAAACATGACTAAACCTGCCTTCTGCTTTTTTGGGCAGGCTGGGTCTGGGCCATAAAGGTTAAATTCAAAAACATGCCCAATGAGTTTGGCCCAAGAGGTAGGCCCTTTTGAAACTCAGAATCAAGCCTTGAATTCAAGTTCTTGGGCTTAGCATAGTCCAAATCCCACTACCCAAAACACTTCGCATACTAGTTATGCTATAAACAACTCTCCTTTTTTAGATGAGAATGCTATAAACTACTTTGAGAAAAAAGGAAAAAATAAATAATATACAAACATCTAATCAACCTGTGCAATTCGATGTGGTTTCTATGAAACAAGTGGCTGAATAAAAGCTTAGCAATTTTAAGAAAGTCAGATCTCAATCAAACGATAGATATAAAAGTTGTGAAACCTGACCGACTACATAGAATTAGCATATATGTATCTATTATTTATGTATTATATTATTTATTAGTTCAATAAATAAAGTAATGATATTTTCATTTTTTTGAAAAACAGAACCCACGTTCCTCCTCATTGTTCAATAAAAAAAAATAGTTTTTTTTTTTATTATAAAATAAGATTTGTTCAGTAAAATTTTAGAATTTTTTTTTATAAAATTAGGATTTTTTCAATCTATCAACTTACCTGTCAAATCTGCTCAACCCACTCCGTCAATTTCAAAATTATGAATGGTCGGTTGCAGATGAAAATTTTTCAATCCAAACCCAATATAGTGGACTGGACAACCCATCCGAACCCGACCGACGAGGGCCTTTACTGAATAATAGGGCAAAAATATAAACTTATTACTTTTAACACAAAAATCAATTACAATACTTCTAAATATCAAAATTATCATTGATACATTAGCCCTGTTTGGTAGAGTTGTGGGAAAGTATTTATAACTTATACCTTAACAATTTATAACTTATAACTATAAATATAAGTTGATTTCTGACCGACTACATAAAATTAGCAATATATGTATCTATTACTTATGTATTATATTATTTATTAGTTCAATAAATAAAGTAATGATATTTTGAAAATGATATTTTCACTTTTTTGAAAAACAGAACCCACGTTCCTCCTCATTGTTCAATAAAAAAAAGAAAAATGTTTGGGGGCCCTAATTCTGTGGCTCAAATGTGGCTCAAATGGCCAAAACGACGTCGTTTTGGCCATTTTGATGTTGTTTTGTACTCAAAACGACGTCGTTTTGACCATTTGAGCCACATTTGAGCCACAGAATTTGGGCCCTCTACCATTACTCTAAAAAAAAATAGTTTTTTTTTATTTTTTATTATAAAATAAGATTTGTTCAGTAAAAATTTTAAATTTTTTTTTATAAAATTAGGATTTTTTCAATCTATCAACCCGACCTTCATTTACCTGTCAAATCTGCTCAACCCACTCCATCAATTTCAAAATTATGAATGGTCGGTTGCAGATGAAAATTTTTCAATCCAAACCCAATATAGTGGTCCGAACCCGACGGACGAGGGCCTTTACTGAATAATATGGCAAAAATATAAACTAATTACTTTTAACACAAAAGTGAATTACAATACTTCTAAATATCAAAATTATCATTGATACATTATTCTGGTGAATCATTTTGTTTAAATATTTTTAGAAGAATGCATTTTCTTAAAATTAAAAAGTGTTTCTAAATTGACAATGGTAAATTTACTTTACAAAATTTTTTTTCCTTCTCATTTTGTATTTATTTATTTTAAAAAAATAAAAATCCACGGGGAATACGGTAGCCCACTTTGAGCCCAACTCAAAGGAGTAGTACTAGTAGGCCACTGTCCCCATCAGAGTCAGAAACCAAAATCCAAGTAGTATTTTACCCGTGAAATCCATTAATGCTTCAAAACCTTGTATTTACTCGATTCCTCCCAATCCTCGTGACCCCTTCTTCAATCCTTGCACCAACTCTTTTTATATTCACTTTATCTCTCTCACCCAACCTCCCCCATCTCATTTACTACCCTACTCCCTTTTAAACATCCACCTCTCTCCTCTCCAAACATCCTATGTTCCAATTCCATCTCTCTCTCTCTCCAAAATGGACCTCTTTCTCTCTCTACCCACAATTTTCCTTCTAATCTTCATTTGTTTTCCAATGGGCCGGCCCTTCACCGTCATAATGTCAGATTCCTCAGCTTTAGTTGACACTCCACAAACTGGGTTTTCCGCAAATAGTAACGGAGCTAGGACGGATTCCCGAGAACAAGAAGCGGTCTATGACATCATGAGAGCTACTGGGAACTCGTGGGCTACTGATATCCCTGATGTCTGTCGAGGCCGGTGGCACGGCATAGAGTGCATGCCCGACAAGGACAATGTCTTCCATGTTGTGTCACTCTCGTTCGGAGCGTTATCCGATGACACTGCTTTCCCAACTTGTGACCCGACCCAATCCATCATCTCACCTTCCATCACAAAACTCCCACACATTCGAACCTTGTTTTTTTACCGTTGTTTTAGTGACAATCCTCAGCCAATTCCGAACTTTTTGGGCCAGTTAGGTCCCACTCTACAAACTCTTGTCCTTAGGGAGAATGGGCATGTTGGGCCCATCCCTAACGAACTGGGTAATCTGACCCGTTTAAAGGTTCTTGATCTTCACAAAAACAATCTTAACAGTTCAATACCGGTTTCACTGGGCCGGCTCACTGGTCTAAGGTCGTTGGATTTGAGCGGCAACAAACTAACCGGTTCAATTCCTGCTCTGTCCTTCCCTGTTTTGAATGTTTTAGACCTAAACCAAAATCACCTTCTGGGTTCAATCCCATCAACCCTTGGAAGCTTCCAGAACCTCATCAAACTAGATCTAAGCCGAAACCGTCTCTCCGGTCCAATTCCCAATTCCATCGATGGCCTGAAAAACCTTATTCTTCTCGATTTAAGCTATAACTGTCTCTCCGGTCCACTTCCAATATCGCTAAAAACCATGAATTCTCTCCAAGCTTTGGTTCTCAAAGGCAATCCAATGGACTCTACAACAATTCCAAATGATGGGTTTGATGGGTTGAAGGATTTAATGATCTTAGCCCTCTCTGACATGAATTTGAATGGAAAAATACCCGATTCACTAGGCCGGTTAACCAATCTTCGTGTTCTTCATCTTGATGGAAATCACTTGAACGGTTCAATTCCGGCTAGTTTTCGAGACTTAAACAATCTCAGTGAGCTGAGACTCAACAATAATTGGCTAACAGGGCTGGTTCCGTTTCGGAGAGAGATGGTTTGGAGGATGAGAAGAAAATTGAGGCTTTACAACAATTCAGGGCTATGCTATGATGTAAATGACGGCTTCGCAGACAGTTTTGATTCGTCGTTTGATTTGGGTATCGGGTATTGCGAAACACCGAAACCGGGATCAGCAAGAACTGTGCAGCATCTTTCTGCTAGTATTGAAGACATGGATAGATCATTGAACAAATCATCTTCTGTAATTCACAAAGTTTCATTGCTTGAGTTAGTTACAATTTTGTTGTTTGTTCTGTTTTTGTTGTAGGAGTGAGAAACAGAGCATGTAGTGAATAGGTATGACTTTTGTGAAGGTTTGTATAGTTAAAGTGTAGTATAGTATGGTATTATAACTAAGTGATCAGTTTTGGTTAGGCTGAATTTCTGCGAATTTTCTAAATCTTTCTTAACCCAGAAAATTATGATTCTCTAGGTATTATTACAATTGGGAACAGGGGATGCTCTGTTCTGGTTTGAGAATAAGAAATAATCAGAAAGTTTAATTTTACTTTCACCAATGAGAATCAACGTCATTTTGTGGCACGAAAAAAGCAATACAAGGATTGAGTTTCTCTCATTTTAAGCATAGCGAGCCCAGTGAAAGGCTCGCACAATGGCCTATTAGCTCAATGATAGCACGCGCCTAGGATGTGAGGACATTAATCAAAATGATTTATTATTTTTAAACTATTATTACCAGGGCGGAGGGAAGAAGGGTCGAGGGGGGGTTTTGGAATTTTTTTTTTTTTGTGGCAAATATAAAGAAAATGTTTTAAATAAAAAAATTTATAAAAATATTATTTAGAGTGAAAGGTCAATGATATTTTTAAAATTATAAGAACAATAATGATTGTTTTAATTAAAAATAAAGAGATTATGATATTATTAGCTATGCAAATTCTAATATAATGATGATATCTATCATTATTGACATGCAAACATAATTAATCTCAATGAAAATATTGAATTTATTGAATTGTTAGTTACATTTGACATGTAAGGTTCATCCTCCATGTGTTTCTTTACTATTGGTTGGTGATATCACATGTCAATGATGACGTGATATGATTATTATATTGAATTTTTATGCATATTTTGTATAAAAAAAATACTTTATCATTATATAATTTATTTTAAAACTTTATATCCATGAATTTTTTTAATATTGTCCATGATACACTAATTACAAATAACATTCACTTTGTTTGCTTTGAGTTTTCTAAAAATACTTTTCAAAAAATTCTACTTTTTTGTTTTCCGTATTTTTTTTGTTTTTACTGAATTTTTTTAATATTTTAAGCATTTTTTTTAATTTTTAGACACACCTAACATAAATACACTTAAAAAGTATATTTTTTGCAAAAAAAAAAATCTTTAGAAAATTCACTACATACTAAAAATACAAAAAAATAGTACATTTTTCTTATTTTTATGTATTTATTAATTTTTTAAATTATTTTTTCAAAAATATTTTATTTTTTTAGATACATCTAAGTAAGATGCATCTAAAAAAGTTTAAAAAAAATGCTTAAAATTTTTAAAATATTCCCTAAAAAAATGAAAAATAAAAAATTCAATTTTCAAAAACTTAATTCATAAAACTCAAACCAAACACACTGATTATTTATTTTTTTTATCTTTCCTTAAGTCAATTGTAAAAATTTATGTGAAATATTTTTGTAAACATTTTTAATGTTGTAATTAATAAGTGTCCTCTCCAATTTAATTTTTTAATTCCGCCTACTGAGATAATCACAATGATCTACAACAACATTGTGAGCGGACTTAAACCAATTTAGGAATTACGTATTGTTTATTATTATTTGGGGGGCGGTGTTATAAAATGCATATCATTTTCCATTTTACTGAGATAATCACAATGATCTACGACAACATTGGTCTATTTGGTAGGATTTATTTCTAGTTTATTTTAGTTTTTAGTTTAATTTAAGTTATTTTGATATGTTTGGTTTAGCTTAGCAATACATCTTATAGTTTTTTGTAAGTCAAAAATCAATTTATTCTTTGAGTGGGGGAGGAAAAGCTTAATTTATAAGTCAAAAAATAACTTATGTTCACAGCTATAAGTTATAAGCTGTTAGGTTATAAGTTATAATCACTTTTCTATAACTCTACCAAACGGGGCCATTGTGAGTGGACTTAAACCAATTTAGGAATTATGTATTGTTTATTATTATTTGGGGTCTGTATCTGGGTTTATTTATGAAGCATTAGCAACTTGGGCCTGGCCCACATTTCATAAACATACTTGTAGATGTTTGTTTGTGACTTCTCCCAACTCAACCAGTCCACTATCAATCTTGCAAATTCTGCCTTTAGAAAAATGATATACAAATCGACAATTGAATTAAAATTGATTAACATGTAGCATTGATTGGTTAATATTATGTTTCTCTTCTAACCTTGACCAATAAACACTCGATATTTCAATTGGTTTCATGTTGATTGTCTGCTTGTATATCCCCATTGTTGGACGAAAATTGGAGATTTGATGACTTTACGAGCTTATTATTTTTTAAATTAAAACTTGCGTAAACTATACTAACTTATCTTTCCTAAAAATTTAGAAAAAATATATTGAACTTTACAAGTTTGACATAATTATATTTTTTAATTTACATGGTCTCTTTTTCATTAGTAATTTTTTAACTGTATGAAGATTTGTTATCGCTTTTACATTGAAATATATATTTTATATTATTTATTCACGTATCTTCACACACCATTTGTATTAATTTTGATCATTTTACTCTTATTAGAAAAAAGGTAAGTGCAATTATATTAAATTTATAAGATTTATTGTATTTGTTTAAATGTCCAACATGGTTAATGTAATTTATTCTCAAAATTTTGATCCATTTTGAATCCAGACCAATAAGAAGCATTAGAACTTGTGTGCACTCATGGACCAACAATGCAACAGTAACATAAAGAGGTGTGATTTACACAGCTCAAACTCTGGGCTGTAGATGTGTTGTTTTGAGGCGTAGAAGTAACAATTTCCCAAAAATAATTCAATACACGTGTATTACTGTTATCAAAAATTCCGTTGACAGTAATTGATCGTCAGATTTAAAAAAAAAATTCAAATAAACATAAAAAAGATCAAATTTTGTGGTTAAATTCTATGTCTTAAACAGATTAAGGACTTCCCTGCAAGTAATTAAGTAAAAAAGGAATAAAACAAAACAGAACAGAATATGTATTTATTCAATTAACTTGTCACTTATTATTAGTTACAAGAACTTAAATAAGAACAAAGAAATAAAAAATACAGCAATCGACGAAAAGAAAAGAAATGGGAATTGGAGAAAGTTATTATTTAATCTACTTCTAACAATTGCTAAGTTAAATTATTCTTAAATAATTCTTCATGATTTGTGAGTGGTTGATGAGATAATTTTTTTGTATCTCTCTTGACCTATTTATAAACTCAACCACGTGAAAGAGAGATAATCTAAACCCACAATTTCCTTAACAAGGTCATGATTTTCTCAATATCATCCATATCCCATATTTGATAGTAACCAATTTTATAGATTTAGTGTTTGACTCCTTAATTTAAGTAACAAATTTTCAAATAGCTGCAATAACTAACTCTTCTCGCCCTCCATTTAATATATCATCATGCCAGCTCACTGGCGCACTAATCATGTCATGTGAACATTCCTAAAAAACTATCTGTGATATGTGCATCTAATTGCCATTTTATGCTTCTGCAGTTTTTACACAATAAACTAATAATAATAAGATTAATTGTGGTTGATCGACGGACGATCAATTATTCTCTATCGATCGGCCACACAATCAGATGATAATCAACCTTGGGCACCTTTCTTTTGAACAAAAAGTTGAGCCGGCAAAACCAACTAAATCACCAATTTTATAAATAATGCATACATATAAATATCATATATATTGAGAGGGAGATTTGCGCCGGTCAATACGGCCGAGCTACCGTAACGCGGGATATGACAATGGGCCTTGCGAGAACCATACCGTGTCTGACTGAACTAAATCGACACGGTTTCCCGGCCCATCACGTTGGGCCAAGCAAGATTGTCGACCAGAGTGTAGAGACATGCATGCGCCCAACCGAGCTGACTTGGCCTGATATTCGGTTGGATCCGCGGTAATGCATTGGGACCAAGCCGAGTGCAGTCCGGAATGAATTCGGGCCGAGCTGAAGAACGGCACGCCTCACGGCCGGCCGATTCAGACGAACCAACTTATCATAGGTCAGCCGTTTCAGTCATGGTGTCGTTTTCCCCAAGGGATAAGTCGGTTGTGATAGACCAGTTGAGCGTGCCACCTGGACTAATGATGTGATGAGGGGGAAATCCACTCCTGGTACGCGTCAATACCTTTTAGCAGTTCGACAAACGTTATTTGGAGGTTTTGGCCTCTACACGTATAAGGAGGCTAGAGGGGAGCATAGCCACCTGTCTAGGGAAGAACAGCAGAGGTAGTGCGCCCATAATCCCTGAGGCTGCATGGCTAGCCTAGAAAAAGAAGTGAGGGAGGAACATTGAAGGTAAGCAATCTGAGAAATTACCAACTCTCTCTCTCTCTCGCTAAAGTGCTCTTTTTCCATTCTTCTTCTTCTTCAAGTGCGCTGACTTGATCGTCGGAGGGTTTATCCGGCAACACACTGTTGGGCAGCTCATCGTCTTTCTGTTTTCAGGTCAAGTGACGTTACGAAAAGCTGAGTTCAAGGAGTACGGAGAACAGAGGATATTTCACCCCATACATATATATATAGTCTTATGCTAACAAAGCTTACTATCATGAGTTATATATATATATATACATGCATGCATGCATTCATATAATATATATACATAAAACATAAATAGCAATCAAAGCAATAGGAAATAATTTGTGGCTGATCCAGACTACAAATCTGTCCACAGGCTTCTCAAACTTCTTTTAGTTTATAACTATCTGTAATGGATTATTTTCTGGCCTGTAGCTATCTAATTGACAAGCCACAATAAGATCATATTTGACAGCAATTAATTAGTCACAATCGATAAAAAAATAAAATATGATGTCAACAATTACTTCTTTGGTATTTTCGATTAATTCAAAATGATAACACATATTAGGTAAGTTATCATTTACTTTCTGGATCCAACTTTCCTTCCATCCAAGAATTGTGGGGCCGCCACAGGTCTTATTTTTATGATTTAATTTGTTTGTTTTGTCGAACCCTTCGTATATATCGTTCACAAAAAATATTAAGTCGATCCAATAATTGTAGTATATGCAATTCATATTTGTGCTTAAAAAAGTGACAACAAATGTGTTTTTAGAAATAGATCATTCATTTTTTTAGTAATGAAGGCAATAGATTGAATAGGATACCATTATCAGATCAATCTAATTTTATTTCATTTTTTATATGGATGATATACACAAAGAATATTACAATATGAACGGTTTGAATTATCAAAATAAGACGCCCTCCAATCCATATTATGAACTAGAAGCCCAATCCTATTTGTGGACCTATAAAAACAACTTATCAATCTTACATTATTTTGTTTGTTGAGAGAAGCCCAATCCTATTTGTGGACCTATAAAAACTATTTATCAATTTTACATTATTTTATTTGTTGAGAGGTCAAAAATAATTTTAAAAATATATTTTTGATGTTTATTTTTAGGATAAATTACAAATATATCTCATGAGGTTTGTTTAAAGTACAAATTGTCTCTTGTGATTTGAAAAATTACAAATACTATATTGTCAGAATTTTTTATTTAACAGAATTAATTAAAAAAATAAAATTTAAAATTACTCGGATATACAATAATAAAATTACTTAAATTATTAATTGAAATATGTTTTTAATATCATTAAAAATTGTTAATTGACTTGATAATTTATTAACAAAATGGACAATTTGTTATGAAATTAAAAATCTCAAAAGTGAATGTAATTTCAAAAATTACAGTGGGCGATTTGTATTTTAATTAAATCTTAAAAAATGTATTTATAATTTATCTTTATTTTTATCAAATTAATTTTTATATTTTCAAAAAAAATAAAAAAAAATTCTGAAAAAGCAACTAAACAAGGCTGATGTTACAAAACTAGTAGTAAATAATATAAAAAAATAATAATAAAATAAAAATTTGTCATTTTATGAAGGCAGATTATTGGAATTTTCTGTCGTGGCATAAATGATGGTTTTTCTTTTTCTAGATGGAGCATCAATGATAGGGTTAGCGGTACCAACTAAGGGAACCACTGTGGACCCACAAACTGTAGTCGGAAATTATAAATACAAAAATGTTTGGAAACTCTAAATTATAAATTCTGAAAGAGCTTTAGAGAGTGAATTTCACTTATTGATGTGATATTTTGACCTTAATTTTATTTTTTATTTTAAAATTTTAACTTTATTAATACTTAATTAAAACTCCTAAATTAGAAGAATGTATCATTATTTATTTTTATTTTTTTTGTTACGGGAAAATCCTCCCTACTCTCCCTCAGGTCCAAGGCAGCGCCCCTTTATAGAGATCACCAAGATGTCCTGTTAGCCGTTCCGAACAAGGAGACTATAACTTGAAAACTTGTCCCGACCTTCCAACCAAGGTGTCCTGTTAGCCGTTCTGAGCGAGGAGACTATAACTTAAAAACTTGTCCCGACCTTCCAAAACAAACTCCGCTTAAGTCAAGACTTGCACAGCGAGAGAACATTAAACTCACACCAAATACTAATTAAATAACTTAAAATACAACTTTTTAACTAACTGTACTACACTTAAAAAACATTTAAACTCATGACCTAAATCTTAATCCCCATATCCTCGCCAGGCCACCCACCCCTGGGTTGAAAGGGGTGGGTTGAATGTTTCATTATTGTTATAAATATTTTTTTGGACTCCTTCCCCCAAGATAGGCAGCTGAATTTCACTTCCCATATGCCCCATACATCTCAAAATCCAAAACCTGTCTTTTCAGCTCTGACATCTAACTATGAAAAATTGCTAAAAACAATAAAGTTGAAAAAGTATGTAAAAGGTTATAGGATAATGCAATGATAGATACCACTCAAAATATTTCTCATATGCGCTTTTATTATTTATTTTTGTGATAGAAAAAAGAGTTTAAAAAAACGGAATTATTTGCGATCGAATGAAATTCGTCACAAATAGTGAGCTTTTTTGTGATAAAATAAAAATGTCTCTAATGATAGAGTTTTTGCGACTGAAAAATAACTGTTGCCAAAAATTAAAAAAAAATTGAATTTTTTGCAACGGAAACACCTTGGGCAAACAAAATAATGTAAATAATTAAACGACATAGTTTTGTTTATTCTCACACTATTTTGCCACTGATATAGTTTTCGTCTCAAATAAAAAAATTCATATTCCCTCTTTTTGTCGTAAATCTGACAAGCACCCTCTTCTCCCTTAATTGCTTTCTCCCTCATCCTTCACTGTCTCTCGTTCTCTCACTCATCTCAGCAGCAATCCTATCTCTCCCTCAAAGTATCTTCTATCTCTCTCTCACTCTCTCTCTCACATTATCTCTTCTCCTTCTCTCACTTTCTCTTCTTTCTCTCTCTAGATAATGCTTTAAAGGATATTCTTCACTGCAAGAAGTGGAGATTCCAATGGAGTACTCTCCCTCACATGACTCGTGAAGTACTTCTACAAAACTATAATTGTAAGTTTAGATTGTATTAAACCTTTTGTCCTTAGATTAATTTTGGACCATAGTGAAGGATAAGGTTGCAGTCAAATATATACATATATATATATATATTTACTTTTTTGAAACCCTTACTAACCGTCACAAAAGAGCTGAAAATCCGTCACTAAAACTGTTAGTAATGGGCGCCTATGTGGCATGACCATTTGAACATAATTTGGATCTTATCCAAATAGGTTTTGAATTAAATTCAAACCTATTTAGGATAACCACTCAGGATATAGATATTTTCAGTTTTAACTGATATGGATAAATAATAATAATATAATATATATCTGATATATGGTTATGGGTAACCAAAAGAGAGAAACAACGTAGTTTTTGTTTCAACCCATAAACTGACTCTCTCCCAAGAAACAACGATCAAGTCATTTGCACTGTGGTTTGTGTGGGTGATATTCACCATTGTAATATCTCATTTAACCAATGGATAAATGAGATAAATATAATATATATCTGATATATGGTTATGGGTAACCAAGAGAGTAACAACGTATGTTTTGTTTCAATCCAAAAACTTACTCTCTCCCAAGAAACAACGATCAAGTCATTTGCACTGTGGTTTGTGTGGGTGATATTCACCATTGTAATATCACCCCACTGTTGGGATTGATTGATTAGATTCTGGAAGCACGTAATTTATCCACGAGGTTTTAGATCAAATGAGGTATGATCTAAACATTTTATTCCGCTGCATGTTTTTTTGTTGTGATTTACATTGGTATCAGAGCCATTGATGGATATTTTCGTGCTTTCTTTTATCACGTGTATATTTATAAAAGATGTGGAGATCCAAAATATTTCATTTTTATGATCATTAATGTCATTTTTAAGAGCATAAATGATTTTATTTTGCTAATGACCTCAGTCTGGTCTACAGCCTTGTATGGCTTAGCTTCGACCCACTTAGTGAAGTAATCAGTGGCCACTAAAATGAAACAATGATGCTTCAAAGAAGGTGAGTGTATTTTCCCCATCATATCCATAGCCCATCCTCTAAATGGCCACGACTTCACCAAGGTTTTCAGACCCAGACCGGCCCGGCCGGTGGAACCGGGAACCGGTCCTCTCTCCGGTCCAGAAAACCTTCAAGACCCTGTGTAGGCCAAAAACCAGTGTTATTAGTGAAAACCGGAATAACCGGTGGTCCAACCGGGAAAACTGGTGAACCGGTGCCAGTTCGGTGGACCAACTTGAATTTTTTCTTTCTTTCTTTCTTATATATATATATATTATATATCAAAATTTTGACTAAAAACTCTTACTTCAAGAGTCTCCTCTCATGAGGAGGAGTCTCATTGGAAGCTTGAAGAAATTATGAAAGTCTATTCCTATTTATAAGAAAATAATTGTTCAAAGAGAACCTAAAAATTGAATGTGGATCCAATCAAATTGTTTGAATCATATTTGATTGGAGGGAGAGTTGAAAATTTTATTTCCCTCCAAAATTAAATCTAGCATTCAATCAATTTGTTTGAAAGGAATGATAAATTTTTTTAATTTCTTTAAAACTAATGATTTTTTTTATCAATTATGACTTTATTAAATATTATTAGTAAATATTATGCAACACTTTTTTTTTATTATTTCAGTAATTATATATATTTTTATTTATTTATAATTTATAATTTTATTTTTAATTATATAATATTAATTATGACGTCACAGTTCGACCGCTTCGACCCGACGGTTGAACCAGTGACCCGTCCACCAAGTCCCTTTTTCCGGTTCGCTCACCGGTCCGGTTTTCAAAACATTGGTCTAGCATATGTTTCACACTTGCTATTAAATTGGACAGAATGTTTAACAATGCACTTTAGTTGTAATAACCTCGATCCACAATTAGTTACTAATCGGTAGTTAAGGATGTTAATTAAGTGAATAAAATAAATTATGGTTTATTATGTGATTTGCACGATATTTGGCTTACTATCTGTTACTTGTAGGAATATCTGTTTGGAATTCCAATTTAATATGTAAATTGAAAGCCTTATCGGCATCCGAAAACCGAAATTGACTACACCAATATATTATTTGGAATTTTTAGAACCTTATGGCAAGTTTTATTAAAAATTATTTCAGAACGATTAATTGGGTCATGTTTGGTTAGCCTAATGTTTTAATTAATGTATTATAACATTATAAATATAAATATGAGCCCCTTAAGCCCATTTGAGCTCATCATTACCCATTTTGAGTGCAAAAATCTGAGGAATTATTTTAGAGAGAGAGAGAGTGCAATTATAGAGAGAGAAAGGAAGAGATTAAGGAGAAATTGAAGATTTTGCTTGAGTTCATCAGTTTTGTACAAGAATTTAGCTAATTGAAGACTCTAGGTAAGATTACAACCTCTAGATTGTGCATCTAAGTCATTTAACATGAGATTTCTTCAAGATTATGTGTTTAAGGGTGTGTATTGAGCTTAGAAGGAAGATTTGAGTGGCAATTCATGCATGCATGTACATTTTCTTACAAATTGAGCATGATTTCCATGAATCCTCTCTTGCATGTTTGAAATTCATCTTCATTTGGGCAAATCATCAAGTTTTAAGTTGTTTTGTAGTATTTGATCATGATTTGGGAAGCTCAAGACCAAGAAAACTCATGCATGTTGTGATCATGAACATTCATCATGTTTTAAATTGAAATTGTGAGTTTTTAACAAACCCTTGGGCCTTGATTTTATGAAATAATCCTAAATTCTTCATGTTTTACAAGTTTACTATGTTATCTCAAGTTTTGGGGCCCAAGAGATGTGTTTTGGATGGTTGAATTCAAGTTTTGAGCTTGGGAGGTCAATTTGGATTTTCCAGAAATTTGACCCACGCTCGAGAGTGAACCCTAAATTCATGCACCACGCTCGAGCGTGGGTCGAGCGCCCGTCGAGCGTGAAAACCTTACATCCAATACTTTTTAGAGTTTACAGTCCGCTCGAGCGGAGAAAGTCACGCTCGAGCAGAGCTTCATTGTCTGCATGTCCGCTCGAGCGAGGAAATCCACGCTCGAGCGTAGACCTCATTTTCAAAAAATTTGACTAAGTGTTTCAATTTATGTTTTGGCATCCTCATTGCACCTTAAGCATTCCTAAGCCTTACTTAAGCCATGGTGATGAGGTTAAGGACTAGAAACACACTAAGAAAAGAATGTACTAAGTTCTGAGACTGCAAGTACGTGTGTTTTAGGCAATGTGATAAGAAAGATTAAGAACCAATGTAATAAAAGCTAAGCCTTAATGGCCACTTGAATGTGTAATGATAAAACATGCTTGTGTTATGTATTTTGTGATTGTAGGTCAAAACTCAAGGATTGATTGACCATTGCTGGAACCATTGTGAGTAACGTTATCGTAAAGATACGTTTATATGAAATTATGTTCAAAATGAAATGTGATAAGCTATGATTTCTGAAATGATATCTGTTTACGTGAACGAACATTCCAAGTTTGAAATCTATTATGGCATCCATAGATAGTCCCAAGTCATGGGGGACGGCATGAAAATGCGGGTCCATGACATACAAGTTTATAAGATCTCGTTAGCCACTTCATTGTGGTGATATGTGTTTAATCGGTATCCGGAACCGATTAATCTAGTCGGACGACGTTCTGTAATGTGTTCTATGGGATGTACCATTATTATGTTCTGATATGAGAATGATTATGCTCTGATCTGTTTTCCGCTTATGATATGTTCGGATTTCGTTCATTAACCCCTTTACTTTAATGTTATTCACTGGGCTTTAACTTACTGTTTGTATATATATGTATATAGGTGAGCATTCTGGAGTTCAAGCCTGAAGGCTTTTGTTCGGATCTGTATGTCTGTTGTCAGCCAACTACTGCGCCTCACGTGGAGGTTCCCGAAGTGTCCTATGTTCAGTCTTTTGGGTCCTGTTTATGTATAAGACTTGATTTAATGTTGTTGGCTGTACTTAAAATACTGTAATGTGTGCGGGTATAACGTATGGTTGACCACCGGATATGTATATAAAGTTTTAATTATTATGTTTCATATAAGTCAGCACAGCTCATTGGACAATTATATTTATGTATTTGCTTCCGCTAACCCCTTAATTTTGTTAATTTGTTCAGAGGCCTTCGATAATCCAAGGATTACTGGCCGGTTACGATGCTAAACCTATAAGGGCGGGTTTGGGTCGTGACATTAGTCCACAAACCACAATAAGCTATATGGCTATTTCCAAATGAAAGAAGGATAATCTGCACATAGACTAAACCACAAAAGGTAAAGCAACATTTGCCCAGAAATATATAAAACTATTTTGAGATATGTATATATATATAAAGTATATTGAGATTATAAGCGTTCTACCATTTATTTCTTATTAGCAACTTAAAAATGGATGACTATTTTTAATACAATACTTATTGTTTATTTTTTTCAAAGACAAATCTAATAAAACCAAGTAATTATAATCATCAAATCAATCTAATTTTTATTTTTTTTTAATGAAAAATGATCTACATACAAAAACTTATAAGATGAACGATTCAATTCACTGTAGTGAAATCGGTGTTAGAGTCCATAGATCCAATTGGATGAACCTAATATCTTTTCAACTGAAAAGAAGTCGATTCCTAACTACTCATAAGGTAATGCATCTAATTATTTAATAATTTCGGAACACCACGTGATATTGCTTGTGTAGTAATGTTTTGAAAACTGGACCGGATCAAACCGGACCGGACCGACCGGACCGGCCGGCTCGACCGGTTGAGCCGTCGATCGGCCCATGGTCTGGTCCAGATATACCCTCTAACGGGGTCCCTGTTGAAAACCGGTCATTTTAAGAAAAACTGGTGAGAACCGCGGTTAAACTGCTAAACAGGTCGACTTGGTTCAGGTTGAAGCGAACTAGACCAGTTTGCTATATTTGGTCCGGTCATTTTAAGAAAAACCAGTGAGAACTGCGGTTAAACTACTAAACAAGTCGACCCGGTCTGGGTTGAAGCGAACTAGAGCAGTTTGCTATAGTTGGTTCAATATTGAAAAAATTAATGCTTTAGACTTGAACCCAACACTTCAAACTCCAAAGAACATGAATTTCCACTCTACCACCATGGTTCCTTGTTAATATGTAGGAAATATATAATATTAATTGTATTCAAACCAATTTCCCTCCAACACGTGTTTAATTAATATTTTTACAAATAATATTAATATATATATATATATAAACATATATGTTTGATGAATATATATTAAATTATAAAAACATTTTTAATGAATGTATTTTATTTATTTTAAGTTATAAAAATTTTATAAAATAATTATGACATCACGGTTCGATTCTTGTTCAACCCAACGGTTGAACCAGTGACCCGTCTAACCGATCTCTTTTCTGGTTCACTCAACGGTCCCGTTTTAAAACATTGTTGTGTAGTGTTCCAAATCAATTAAGTAGTAGAAAATTTTGCGAGTAAAATATTTTTGACCACTTTTATTAGACAATTAAAAAAATATATATATGCATTACAATTTTTTATTAATCGAAAATATCTAAATAATGCACATGATACTCCTAATGTACCTAATAATTTTCCTTATTCGTATATGATCTAACTGCAGTGAAGCCTCTAGGAGAAGAAATTTGGCTTTTCCTTTCCGAAAATATTATAGGTCCTAAATTTTTTACTAAATAAATGATCAAAGAAAAAATTTATATCTCAAAGTTACGAACTTCACATCCATATAAAATATTTAATTATTTATTTAATTAAAAAATTAATATTTCTAACATTACCCTTTTCTCTCAAGTGAATTACACATTATGTTCAATTATTGTGAGTTGGTGAGTGAGTCCTATATCTCCATTCAATAATTTTTATGGGAAGATCAATGAGTTTACGGTAGATTTCAGTGTTATAGGACTTGCTCATAAATATTGAATTGAATGTCCACATCAACTCAACATAAATCTATCTCCATCTCCTATATATGAATCATGCAATGAAGGATCAATAAATATAAATATATATATATATATATATATATTTTTTTTTTCCAAATTACAAATAGATAAAACAGTCACAAAATAATTACACTACAAATGAAAATCTTTTTAGGTTCAACTTTGACACACAAGAAAGATTTGCACCACTATGAAAATGTAATTATTTATATACTGCTTCATTGTAATACAATTTTTTTTTTCCACTTTAGCTCTTCACGTTTGAAAATTTTTTCAACTTACTCCTAAAACTAGTTTATGTTCAAAATTAGACTAAGGCTTCGTTTGGCAATGGAATTTTTGACTAAATTAACCACAAAAAGACAAAATAAGCTAAAGCTAATATAACAAAATGTCACATTCAAATCATAATTATTTCATTTTTTTTTTCTCCATAAAAGTCAAAAAACTAACCTAAACAAACTTTAGTTTCAAGCTAAAATAGCCAAAAAACTAACTAAAAAAAAGTATAATCAAATTACAACTAAAAAAGATTGCCGCTGCTTTATCAATTTAAACCTCTGACATCTCCCTCAATACACCCTAAGATATGATTATTAGACCATTAAATCAAATCCCAATATCAAAAAACACATATTTCATCATCTTTATTTTGTGTTCTTCCATTGTGTTTATAGTGATGGAACTGTTGCATCCAAGGTTTTAAAAAGCGGCCGCAACCGTTACGTAACGCCGTTACGTAACGGTTTTGGTGGTTACCGCCACCCGTTACGGCCGCTTTTGCAGTGTGATTGAAATTCACAGGTGTGCCGGTCGTAGCGGCTGCCGTTGCGGTCGTAACGATGCCGTAACAGCCGTAACGGCCTGTTACGCACCGTTACGTAACGGTTTCAAACTGTTTCTTCCGAAAAAACAGACAAAAAAAAGCTAAAAATTGGGGAAGAGGGATAGAGAGAAGAGGGAAGATAAAGAGAGAAAATGGAGGAGCAAGAGATAGAGAGAGATAAAAGGGAAGATGAAGAACATATTATTGATTTGTTGAAACTGTAAGACCTATGGTATTCTATTCAGCTGCTATCACTAAACCATTTTGTTTGTGTGTGTCTATCTATATATTGTTTGAAAATAATAATAATAATAAGTGTGGTTGTTATCTATTTGGCTTGGTTAAAATATGTATATATATATATATTTAGGCTCTTATTTATTCTCTTACTTTTGTCATTGTTTATCTTATATATAATAGTTAGTGATTGATTTTTTGTATAATATAAAATCATTAATTATTAAAATAAAATGTAAAAAAATCAGTTTATAGTGATTTAAAAATAGGAAATGTATTGAATCATATTTAAAAATTTACAAAAATTGATCAATAATTATTTTTAACCTAACAAATATGATCATGGAAAAAAAATATGCGTATCGGTAAGTTTTTTTCAAATTGTGCTTATATATATATATATATATCTATAAAGATAGCGTTAGTATGTTAGTATAGTTAAATTACAACTAAAAAAGTTTGCCGCTGCTCTATCAATTTAAACCTCTGACATCTCCCACAATACATCCTAAGATATGATTATTAGACCATTGAATCAAATCCCAATATCAAAAAACACATATTTCATCATCTTTATTTTGTGTTCTTCCATTGTGTTTATAGTGATGGAACTGTTGCATCACTTGTTGTCACTTTTCCTTCTTTTTTTTGGGGGGGTGAATTATCACTTGTTGTCACACTTAACTGCTGAACACCCAACAACATGGAATTGTACATTGATAATCCAACTGTCACCAAAGACAAGTTTATTTGGTAAAACTAGTTCATATTTGAACAGCTAAGAATTCTTAGGATCATTTTAAGAGAAAGTTGTCATTTTCTTTTTCTTTTATTTTTCACCTGCAAAAGCACTAGATGATATTCATTATTTCGTTACTTCAATTCAAATATGTTTATCCCTTATTGACACGAGTTTTTTATTTTAAAATTTTAATTTACTTATAATTGTATAATTGTATATTAAAATTCTTATCAAAAGGTATGATTAAAATACTTTGTAAGATAACAAGGATGATGGATTATTGAGTGTGATTATGAGTTTAATATAATTGAGGGATGAGATTACTAGTCTTGTTATTTGGTTGGAAATTAATGTGGTGGTATTAGTTGGTTTGTGTTAAATCTATAACATTACACAAAAACTCTCATTGTATAACAAATGGCTTTATATTATTTTTATAAAGTGTGGATAAATTTATCTTTTCACTTTCAATCTCTCACCCTTTATAGAAATATTAATTCTAGCACATGAAAAGATTCATAATAGACTATTGGTCTCATATTATCTTTGTAACCTAACAGAATTCACATGAAGCCTATCAAATTGCTACTCCAATTTCATGACTGAACAAGATGGCCAAAGAGACCAAAAAAATAAAAATAAAAAAATTGAAGATATAGGATTTCACCCACTGCAAGTGAGGGTCAGTATTATACCGGCTGCAAACATGGAACCCAAGTCAACCTCGAGCTAAGCACAATGACTTTTTTTTTTTTAGACAAAATCAAGCCACAAGTCAAAACTAGGCCCAAAGCCCTCCCCAAAAGCTTGGCTTTTCTAGCAAGGATCACAAGCACATCCCAACGGACCAAGATTAAAAGCTTATCTTTTAGATTTTTTTTTTTTTTTTCTTTTTGTCCTATTTTTTGCAAAAAAATTTGCATATTCACTGACCAATTCAACAACCACCTTTCACGAGCCAACAAACCAAATTCCAAATCCTAAGTTCAGGCTCAAGGCTGGCCTCATTCGAATCAAGCAAAACTGCTGCATTCCGGCCAAATGATGAACCTTACCTAACAAGGCACCCCTACTAACTCAAATGGGTAGGTTGTTTTCTGTTTTCTAGTTATTGTTGCCACTAAGTTATCTCCCATCAATGCAAACCATCATATCAGTTGTTCAACAGCGGTAGTGTTACATGTACCAATTAATATACACACTAGTATACCAACTAGTGTTATGATATTATTATTAAGCACATTTATTATACAAGTTATAAATATTTAAAACCATACAA